GGTTGCTCTGTAAGGTATAACCTACAATTGTCATTTCTTTCGACGCCTACTGGCATAAACCATTACTTTGTACCTACTGGTAGGTTATTCTGTAAGGTATAACCTACAAATGTCATTGCTTTCGATGCCTACTGGCAACTATACAAAGCATTACTTTGTATAGTTGTTACGATCTCAATTGGAACCACATAAAAACATTTAACTCATAAATTCTACGTAATCCATAGACATCCAGAAAAATTTAACCCTGTCTCGTCTAGATATACAATATTCCGAGCTATATTACCATATAATGACCATACGATTGTCGTTTTTTTATGTTTAAAATCGCATTGTAATAAAGTACGTCGTAAAATATTTAAAGATTTATAATTATAATCAGGATAATCGCTTAATTTATCTAGAATCATGTTTAAAGTAGGAACTTTATTTTCTTTATACATGTTATAAATTGTGTGCCGCAGTACATCTGGTAAAATAGTAAATTTTCTTTAATTTTGTATTTTTTCGTTTCCTCTTTGTACCGTGATCAATCCTTCTTTAATTACACGATAAATTGTCGTTTTTGATATCTTCGTTAATTCGTTAATCCGTTTCCTAAATTTTTTATAACATTGTTCACTATTTTCAATTTTCAAACATTCATATATATTTAATATAATATGTTGACTTTTTAAGGTGTAAATCTTTGTTTGTAAACTCTGAGTTCGGTTCGATACTTTCGACAAAAACCGTTTCCACTATTTGGTGATTTTCCCGAGTTATTTCGTTATCCTCCGCTTCGAAAAGTCTCCAGAGAGCCACGCTAAATTACTAGACAATTAGATATTACATTTATTTTAATAACTATTACCCTTTACTGGTTACGATATGAACAAAAATATCAACTAATAAATAATAATACGTATTATACCAACAACATACCCCGCCAAGCAATGCTCTGCACTGCATTGGCAAAGCGGCAAAGCTAAGTGAACCCGTGTACCATACAAAAAATGATTTACGACCTAGTGGACCAATACAGGTTTGCTTTGATGACCAGCGCGCCGCCNACTTTTTCTCCAAGTTTTTCAACGTTTACTGCATCTAGATATTAAGTTTTCATTATCAAGGTATTCATATTTAAGGGTCATATTGTATGGTCTTATTGTAATCATCAAAAGCGGTAATGTTCCGCTTTTGACAATTAACATTGTGACATTAATAATTCCAAAACCATATATAACTGTTAAAACAATTCGTGAAAATACTGGAAGTTCAAAAAACGTGGCGAATAGATCTTTAAGAAAAATAAATTTTTACCCCTACCATGTCCAGTGTTATCAAATATGGTAGGAACAAATTTTTCAATATAAAATTTTGTTACTTGACACAAGATATGCGTTAAGATTCAAATTTGTTTGCAAAATACTATTTTTCTCCAACCGTCACAAAACTATGACATTTTTTGACTGACAGAAGTCTCTAAGATTGACCTTTTCCTTACTGAGAAAAAAAATGGTATCTTAGCGACAAAAGTATTCACTTTTAATCCTAAGAGCTAAAGTTAATCAAGTTTTAATTTATAAAAGTTTATTCTACTATATTTACAATAATTTTTGTTTATCCACATTGATATTAAATACACAGTTTGAACAAGTATTAAAATTAAACCACTGAAACTACCACTACTGTCATTCTTATTGGAGTAATTTTCAAAGCAGTACAACACATTTTCATTAATATATCAACTCTCAGTATCCTTTTCACAATATTTTCTTTATTCAAAAGTGAGTCTTGAATGTAGCCTTCTGCCACAGTGCTCGATCTCCATTCTCCATGTCTTTTAAGACAAGTGAGGCCACCACCGCCGTCAACTAAAAGGGTAGCAGACATTCGTCTTAATGCATGCCCAGTGTACTCTTTCCAGTTGTCCTTCAAAAATTTTGCCACATGCGAGATGGCACTGATTTTATGAATACCAACCACCATTCGATGACGCTTTCCACTAATATACCTCAGAAATAATCGACGTTCTACCAATACCGGTGGACATAAAGCAACATATTTTCGATAAAAGTAATACTTTTAATCCTAATAATATACTATTTTTGAGTAAAATACAGAGTAAAGGAAAAAATTATAAGCTTGTGCTTCATATAAAACCTATTTCCAAACTCATTTGAATTTGGTCCACCATGTATAGTATTTAATATTTTCTTTATTCTGAAGTTTGTGTATTAGTTCAGGGAGTATGCACTGAGGCAGATAATAGTTGAAATTGATTATTAAACTACTAATTTTGGGAAGTAATTATGATGTCAAGTCTGAAATAAATTTCTCTTTAACGCATTAACGGTCAACAGTTCATTTAGGTAACACCATGAATTTATTTGCAAATAGTGATGTGTATTTTAAACGGAAAATTTATGGAAACATACAAACATTTTAGTTACTGAAAAATTTATACAAATATTTGGTTTTAATGTGCTGGAATATACGAAATGATATAAATTTGTCACAATTAAGACATAATAATTGGTGCAAATATTTCATCACTATTTGCCGATTATTTGTTGAATTTTATTTCATTTTACAATGAAATTAATATTTTCTTCCTTATTTTGGAATAGAAGAAAAATAATGTGCATATAGATCGAAATGGGAATGTATTAATATAGAGATATATACAAATATTTATTATATATACATACATTATATCATACTAATTTTTTATTAGTACTTGAAAAATAAATGCGTGACTATAATTATGTTTGTTTGATTACTTTAACATACTTTACGTTTCAGTGCAAGAAACTTAATTTTTGTTAAATACCTATTTCGTTTGAGAAAAATAAAAAATCGTTACAAAAAAGTACAAAACAGGATTTACATTTTTACAATAACTCGAGTAAAAAAATAAAATATGAAATTAAATATTTATTTCTACACAATTATTACAACTTAAAATTTATCCGGATACGACTTAATTTCCTCATACAGTCTCTTCTCGATGAGAGGAATAAGCAATCTATCTTGCTCGACATTACAACTCAAATACACTGCTTTGTTAACTTTTTTTGAGATTCTACAAGCAATATTTTTTGAGACTTCTTCGGAAAAGTTGCCTATTAACGTAGTACCAGTTGGGCATTTGTCATACCGATTTGTCATAGCAAATGATAAATCGCTAAACTGAAGACGGTCTTTGTCATTGATATAGATGAATAATGAATCTATCATTTTAATTACTTGGAATACAATTTTATGTTCTGTTATTTCAGACACAAATTTGTGAACGATAAATTTCGGTTTTGCTAGTTCTACCTCGCACATAACAGGAGTATCTGTATCCTCGGTATTCTTCATTCCAATAAACTAAAAATATACAATTCATTAATAGACAAAGCAAATGTTATACATGTATATTACTTACACGATAAAAACATACAGTTTTTCGATATTTTCTTGAATCTGAGACGGTAAATAATAAATATTTACAGCAGATGACAGGAATGATTTATAATGAAAACAATCAGTGTTGCCACTTGCCAGAGTAAGAAAGTGAATGCAAAAAGTCGTGCCATTATAACACGTTCACGGTTCAGTGAAGTGGAACGCTCAATTATGTCCACTGACCAATCAAGTTGCACTAAATAGTTCCAAATTATCATGCCGCCATCTGTCGCTGAGAAGTTACACTAGAACTGCGGAACTACCAACTGTAACAGCTTCACATTCACAGGTGAATTAATTGAACCATAGATGGCGGCGCGTTCTCCGGTACTGTTATGTAATTGAGCACTTTTTTGATAATTCTCGTGGGCTATCCATTTTTTAAAAAAGTTATAGGGTTCTGAAAAATCAGAAAAAATTCCGGTGAACCATTATGGCACTGACCAACCCAAAACTGCATTCAGTTCCTCTATAGTTCCACCATTCTTCCAATTTTTGTATTTATTTTCTTTTATTTCCATTTCAATTTTTATTGGCTAGGCACGACATAATACATTACAAATAGATAATTAGGTGTATTAGAATTTATAAAATTTTCTATATTTTGCCGGAGTTACCAGTTTCATTTCAATTTTTATTGGGTAGGCAACATACAATATACTGTTTCGTACTTGGTTGCAGAAAAATTTAAAAAATTTTCTTTATGTTACCAGAGTCGCCAGTTTTTTACTTGTATTTTTTTATAACTTAAATAGGAAAAAGGACGTCTACTAATTACCACAGGACTGTGAAGGATTGTAGGTAATTATATAAAAAATGAACACTGTTATCAATAAATCTTCTTTTATAATTTTGTATTAACTAATGAAGCTTAACAGTTCACAATAAAAATAAATGGGAACAAAAGAAGTATTTTTTTTTCGATACAGCTAATGCGATCACGTTTAATTTCGATCTAAGGTTTGGATAATATCTTTCTCTCACGCTGTCACGTGATTGGCTAACGCAACTCCCTCCGCTCTTTATCTATAGCATAATATCACATACTATAGATAGAAGGAATATATATAGAATATAGAATATAGGATAGAAGTATGTGCATAATATACTCAATGATTAGAGAGAAAGGAAATGAGTGAGAGAGAGTACCCAAGCTAGCGCCCTTTCTCTCTATAGCGTCTACACTCCATGTAGTATATACTCTAGGGACCATATTCGCGAATGCAGCTAAGAGCTCGCCCTCTGGCGGTGACAACTGATACTAGCGAAACAAGGTAAATATTTCTTCTGTGTGTGACATTTCGTTTTGTATTTTATTTAAAACTGAATTTAGTGTTCGTTTTTTGAACACTGTTATTTTAAGAAAATAGTGTGAGGAAAATTTCAGCAATTATGGATAGAAAGAAGAAACTGTCAAACTATTATTGTTCAGTTCAAGGTTGCTCTTCATGGTCCAAGAAAAATCCAGAATTAAGTTTTCATCAAACCATTGAAGAAATTTTCAAAATATTATTGCCGATAGATAATACTCCCTGAATTTCATGAGGGTTGTTAGTAAGTAAGGGCACTAGTCTGCAGACATAATATAAATTTCTAAATTTAAATTAACTTTGCTCAATTTTCCCATATAGTACCACATGATCAGCCTTAAAAACTGCCTCTCCTTCTAATATACAACGAGAGTTTTCGTTAGCATATATGTAAATAGGAAATGTATTCCACAACGGATAAGTTCATAGTTATAACTTAATAAAATGTACATTACATTGTAATGCTAGAGA